TCAACGTTCCGTCAAAACAATTTGTCACAAAAATACTAGTGGTTGCAGCGTAAAAAGTTGCAGTATTCCCTACTCGCTCACGTGGCATCACGCTTTTCCATCGCAACCGTACGGCTCTTCCGCTGCGCTATTTTTGCAAAAGCTTCGACTTCTACACGGGCACTTTCAAATGCTGGTACCACTGTCGCGTGTCAGAATTCATACGATTGATCACCATGCCACGGCGCTGCGGCTGAATTCCGACCATTTCACTAGATCTGTCCAAAACCAGTTTGTTTTGCATTTATACAGATCGGCTCAAGTTCCTCTCCTAAGAGGTCATAATAGAAACTTGCTTTTGTTCGTCCAATCCCGTTAAAGGGAGTTTCCCACCTTCCCAGCATGTTTCAAATGCATAATCTAGTGAAAACTCCAGGCCAATTACGTCTCATAATAACAATGGGTAGTGCCACTGCAGGACTGCGAAGGCATAGTAAGGATACTAATTGCAATTATTTACGAGTCCAAATCATGCTCTCAACGCTTTGCACCACCACTAAGCTTTCCTCTGCAGTCGCGACCATCGTCATCATGATAACCATCATGCGACCTCTACTAATGCGAATAAAAGAAGAGAAGGCATGGGTCGGAGTTTGGACCAGGGCGTCACATGGGCCATGTAAAACTTCCATTCCCAAAGCCAAAGTGCGGCTGGAAAAGAGCTGCTGTGGTGAACGCCACAAAGGAGAAATCAAACCCATAGTATAACGTTTCGTCGAGTTCGCGGGATAGTAGCTTGATTTTCGCACATCTTTATGTCTAAATAGTGTTTAAAGATTTCGTAGCATCTATTACACAAAAGTTTCGACACATAAGCGTGTCGCAAATATTACATAAAACGCACGTCGAAAAAGCAAAGCAAACGAAATGTATCCTTTTCATAGTGGTGAGCGAGAAGTCAAATGAGGTTTCCCAGCAGGTTCGGCTCCTTCAAATCAAAATCAAATCAGAGATCACCCAAGAAGCCATGACGCCATAATCACGTCATTCAAGAGTGTCATTCCATTATCCAAACGGCGATCAAGCCCAATAAAACACAAGTGTCGAATCGGTCATATTTGGCATCGGTGAACACGATTTACAGACATAAAGGTCATAAACTGGCTCTCCATCAGTGTTGTGCAAGGCACGATGACGTAATCAATGACGTATTTAGGTATTGACGCATCATATTATAATAACGTATTGTATCACACGTATTGACGTGTATAATTTTGTTTACTTAACAGAGAAACCCTGTTGCCTAGAGCAGTACGTTCCACTTATGTTCCAAGTATACAAATGGTTAGAGGTGAGCTTATTTCATCACATCTGATGCTTGCTTCAAGATCTTCAAATGAGAAACATTTCCATTAAACAGCATCACGTTCCTAGGTCGGCAAGGCACACGCCCAACCAAAAACTGAAAAATACAAAAAGTGGGTGCTCCCTTTAAGCAGTATCACGTTTCTACGCCCGATGTATACGCTCAGCTGAGTCACAGGTCATGGCGGTAAATCAAGTTTATGGGCTCCAACAGCTTGCGGACGTGCGGCACATTCCTAAACATTCGTGGCATGCTTTTCAAGAACAAGGACCGCCTTGCCGTGTTTTGGAATGTTGGTTTAAAAAATCCACATTTTTTCGCATAAGTCCATCGCTGTCTCCACGCTAGACTCCAAGCGCATACGATTAGATGCGCCCGCGGCCCCTCTGGCCGGTTGCTTTGTTGTACGGCTGGCCGGTCAGCTGGTGGCGGCGGTACGATCATTACCAGCGCGCGCCGGGCAGTGGCACCACCAGCGGGGCTGATCGATCCACCTGGCCTGGGGCCGCTCCCTCCCACTGTAGACAAACCGGAGCCGACTCAATCTGAACCCGGTCACCGGGCAACAGCAAACGCCCAAGATAGACAGCCCTCGAGTCAATGTGACCTTGGAGCGGCACACCATGCAATGCATGTAACGTCCTGTGTGACATGGTATGGATAGGTACTACAGGCACTTACCATAAGGTGCGAACGCCTTATGGTTGGTTTTACGACGGTAGGGCAGATGTATCCACAATTAACAAGACAGTTTCGTCTACGTGCGAAATAACAAGTGACTCAACTCTACCTCGCCGCGCTCAACATCACCTCTCTTAACTTCTGTAAACGTGTCTTGGCAACTAAGAGCATTCCACACGAACTGTATTTTACGTGTGCTTTGGCACATATTGTGACCTTTGGACAATTGGCAGTCGGTAGTTCGACACATACATGCTGATGTGCGAGGAGAAAACTGATTTATCAAACTCAACATACCGATACCTACAGCAAGCGTACCACAATTATACCCAGTCCACAGCCAACTATGCTTATTTGCAGAAGCACATGACACGGTCTTGGCCATCGACATGACGGTGAGCTACTTTTCGGATTCCATAACGACCCATCTAGCCTCGTTGGGCCCTATCCGTAACATATTCTTTGACATCAGAAAAGCCAGCGTGAAAAATGCTAGCAATCACCATCCGTCATACATAACAGCGCTGCACTTTATTTCTTGGGATATGCCCTAACTGCAGAGACACCAAACGAGGTCAGTGGAGCTCCCGAATTTCTGTAAATAACATGCCTAGTCGTGGACATTCTCTCCTGTCTCACCGCTCATGAATCTGTGAAGCAATTTACTTTTTCAGTGTACCCGCGATCGCGTTTCGATCTGCCAGTAGATTTCGACATGTACCTCTGGACCCAGGATGCCCACGCTACAATATCGAAGTTCCGCAAGTACGCAGAGCTGTTCACAGACCGTCGCTGAGGCAGCGACGATCCAAAATGGGTTCCATTGGACAGGTGTCATGACTCGCAGGTTCCACAGACCTTTCACGACGCAAAAATACAAAACCCTGTAACTCATGCCCTCAGCTCTGCATAAGGACTGGAAAAATGAACACTAGATTCCTGTTCGCCAAGCATGTACGAATCAGAAGTTGGTGTGTCTGTGGAATTAAATCACTTCTGTTACGTAAGCATAATGCAACGCGACATGGATATGCGAAACGTCTGCAGATTAGTTCATAGAGCTGTAGGTACTAACCAACGGAAACTTCAACAAAACGCTTACCTACCTAGCTGAACAAAATAAATTTTCGTACCCAAAGGCCAACGTTACAGCGTCGCTCGGGGCGCTTCGCGGAGTAATGTCCGCGGGTACCTATGTCCCCTACAGCAAGTGGACTTGAACCCTCACGCGGTTCTGAAGTCATCAATCACGTTACCATAGAAATCAGCGAACGACACCCTTAATCCAGATTCACCCCAGCCATCCATCTACAATTCAATTCAGTGGATTGACTTCAATGGGAATAAATTGCGCCCACTAAACCTGTCTTTAGCATCACAATTGTACCCAGAGACCCGCCGACGATACAGCGAGCTCCTTCGTACAGCGTATGTCGTGCCCAAAACCACCAGAAATGCCTTCCACTCAGGGGGGGTAAAATTGTATGCTTTCGGGGTCGAAACCCCCAATGCTGACTTGAGCCCCCAGTCCATGCATACCAGCAAAAAAGAAATACCGGTGCCCAAAGAAGAAGGAACTGTTGGTTCACTAAGTAACTAAACGCATCAGCATTGACATCTCGTTAATTTTGTATTAAATAGCACCATGTAAGCACGTACTGTTTTTGTCATAAGCTCCCTTACAGTTAGGCCAGTCTGCACATGTCAGGCTGGGCCAGCTTGTGCCACTGTCACACCCCCAACCGAGTTCAGAAGCTGACGATTTCAGAAACTCCTGTTTTCACCTCTGCTTACTCCAAAATGAGACGAGCGTTTATCTAAAAAGGAATCCCGTAAAAGTCAGCAAGTACAGAACGGAATGCACTACAGTCCTTTTAAACCTTTGTTATCCGGATCACGATGTCAATTGCCACAACACTACAGACCTGACCCAGCAGCCAATGCTGATGTATAACTGCGGTGTCAGCTTTCGATTGGGTCTGCGCAAGCTCAAGCCACCGAACAGAGCTCACAGCTACGGGAATAATGCAAAGTGAGGAGCGAACGACTGGGAAAGATACACGGCGCGTAAGGAGGAAATGGCTAAGACTTGTCACGCATCTTACTAAACGTATGTTTGGTACACCCAATTCACTTAAGTTTTCAAATCATCTCACACGCCGATGGAAACATGTAAATGCTGCCAGCCCGCGACACCACCATGAATACTCCTCCCACGCGGGCAGGGGTCACTGTACCGAACTGGCGCACACAAGCCTCTTCACCGACCCGTCGGCTTCTGGAGCCTGCGAACAGCACCTCACGCGTGACCTTGAGGTCGGGAGCACGGAGAATTCAGTGCCCCGGCCGGTGCCAAACCAACCATGCGCGTGTTGCCTCCCGCGGGGCTCGGACGCATTCGCTTCACCCTTGAAATAGCATATGATCCTATCGTCCGCCACACGCGCCGCGGATTCAAGCAGACACTGTGCCAGCCTTCGAGGCTTAACATTGATCCGGTGATACTCTATCACATGACGCGCGCGCGACGTCAGTGGCAGCGAGATGGTATTTGGCTAAACGGCTTGCGTGGAGCAGAAATGCTTCAGTAAGACAAGCTACCACGAGTATAACACCATTCTTCCAGTCGTTGCATGCAGCCTGAAGCCGCCTATCCCAGCTTGAAAAATTGAAATATAAATTTAAATAAATAGTAAGACGAAAAATAGGAGTACCTGACATTTCTACGAGTGGCATACGGGGCCGCTCATTACTGCCCAAGATACCAGCAATCCTATGATTTACACGTAATTGCACGGCTATGTACGTAACGTACCACCGCATTAACATCGGTGATCATGCACCCAACCTTACATACACTACGGGCCGATCTTTGCCAGATGTACGTATGTATTCCAGTCCGCGCCACTACACAGGCTTTGTACACAGCCCTCCCATAGCGTTCTCAAACCATCCTGCCACGCTGTCACCTCACCTGATCACAGCCCGGAGAACTCAACACAGCGGCCACATCCACCGCCACGAGCTTGACTAGCCGGACCCACGCGCGCTGCCTCCCGCCTTCACCCCGCCAGGACCACTAGCGCCCCACGGCCGGCCGCGCCGCCACCACGCGCCGCCCGACTGCCCCGCTGAACCGGCCGCGTGTTGGCGCTGGCCGCGCCGGCGCCTCGCTCGCCGGCGCCGGACCCAGTGCTCGGGCGAGGCTGACCCACCCTCCGACGGCCCGCCCGCCTGGCAGTGGGACCAACGCGGCGGGGGAGGGGAGGGGAGCGCCTGTCAGGCCCGGAGCCAGGATTTTTCCAACGCGCACGGGCGGTGCCAGGGCCATTTTTTACACCGAGAGCCAGGGTAATTTTGAACGCAGAAGATGACCCCGGCGTCGCCCGTGCGCGTTGGAAAAAGCCTGGCCCCGGGCCTGACAAACGAAAACCGAATAGAAGCGGCAGGAGTCGTGTAAGGAGGGCATGCGGTGCGTTGATTTTGCACTCGCAAACAGGTTCGCCGGTCTGTAATTCTCTCGACCTCGAATCGAACTGAAGTTAAGATCTCGTCGGCGCGATCCGACGCAAAAGTCTCTCGTGTTTTGCGAGCAAATCACGACGGAATCCTGAATACAAGGAAACGGCGTTGGAATACTCAGGCTTTGCGCAATGAGGTCAGCGACATATTCCCGTGGCTCCTTGAGAATCCAGGCTGCGTTTGTCATCAAACATACAGCCTGATTTGTATATTGACAAGCTTGCACTGATGGATTCCAGTCCGTGAACCAATTCGGCGTCGAGCCAAGACCGTATACAAAGCGCACATAACATGGTACGCTCATGATATATTTGATACCAGCAGTCTAATGACACGGGGAAAATGCGCACAACCCAGACATCTTCCTCCCGACACAATCACAACAACGAACAACGTTTCAAAATGGCAAAACTGACATCATGGGATCATCTGAAGTCGTCAGCAAAGCCGTCGAACTTGAGCGTTTTCAGCGGGTTGTCTTGTTTTTTCTTGTGTGGGCCTTGGAACCTTCGCGTGCCAAAAGAGTTTGCGTCTCCCGCCTTGTGCGTCTTTCGCTTCTCTTCAATCCCAGCACGTTTCCTCAAAGACTTGGGGACTATATACTCGGGCACATGTTTCATGTGCCTCTGTACCTTGACCGTGTGCAACGCCTTGTCGTGCCGCAGTACTTGCAGGTCTCGCGGGTTCTCCTCGAAGTAAGACTGCAGCCGGCGCGAGTTGAGCATCTCCTGCTTGATCTCCTTCAGACGCGCCTCGCGGATACTGCGCTTTGTGACAGCGCGCATGGCATCCTGGGCGCGGTACCTGAAGCCCTCGATCTCCTCCATCTTGAAGAGGTACGGCTTGAACAGATGACTTTCGTTGGGGAACATTGCAGACAGCTTCGACGTCACCTCGTCCAGCACAGGCTGGTCCTTAATGCTGACAAAGGAAAGCGCGGAGCCCTTGCTGTTTCCGCGAGCCGTCCGACCCACTCGATGGATGTACGAATCCACGTCCAAGGGGAAGTCAAAGTTGATGACGTTGGAAACGAACTGGAAGTCGATGCCACGTGCTACGCCAGACTCCTTGTCCTGCTTTCTCTTTTTCTTATTGGGCTCGTCCGCTTCCGGTTCCGTCGGAGCCTTGCCTTTCTTTTTCTTCTTGTTACCCGTCTCATCTGCTTCTGGTTTGGCGGCAGCTGACGACGACGGCTCGGGCTCGTCCAGGAAGCGTTCATCTGAGGCAATGATGATGTCGTAAGCTCCATCGTTGAACTGAGACAATATGTGGCTGCGTGAGTTCGCCGGCAGTTCGGAGCTCAGCGCACATGCCGGGATCCCGAACTGCTCGAAATACAGCTTCAGCTTGTAGCAGCGATCCACACTGCCGACAAATATGATAGTCTTCCCTCTGACCAGTTTCAGCTTGAACAGCGTGTATATCAATACAAACTTGTCGTTCTCCTCCACCTTGAGGTGGTACTGCGACAGCTGGTTGCCGGCCGGCAGCTGTGGCTCCTCCAGCTTCAGGATGACGGGATTGTGCAGCAGCAGCTGGCGCAGTTCCTTGACCTCGTCGGACAGCGTGGCGCTCATGAGCAGGACCTGGCAGATGGGTGGTAGGTGGCGCGCCATCTCCATCAGGTCGCCGTTGTGGCCGAACGTCAGCATCAGGTCGGCCTCGTCCACCACCAGCAGCTTGAGGTCGCGCGACACGTCCAGGTTGCCGGCCTGGATGTGGGCCAGCACGCGGGACGGCGTGCCCACCACGATGTCCGGCTTGTACATGAGCATCGATCTCTGGGCCGAGAGGTCCGCCTGCGTCCCGACGTTCACACACCTCACCTCCCGGGAGCAGCACGAGGTCAGCGACTCGAAATGTGAGCACAGCTGCTGGCAGAGCTCCCTGGTCGGCGCCAGTACCAGGGCCTGCACCGCCTGATGGCTGCACGCCTTCTTGTTCTGCAGAATTGTCTGGATGACGGGAATGGCGAACGCACCCGACTTGCCCGACCCCGTGCGGGCCCTCGCCAGTATGTCTTTGCCTTCCAAAGCCAGGGGGATGGTCTTTTCTTGGATAAGGGTGGGTGCTTCCCACTTAAGTCTGGCAATAGCCAGCAGAAGCCGGTCGTCAAGGCCCATTTCGTGGAACTGTACGGTTGACGATTCCTCTGTCTCCATGATTACTGGAAGTGCGGGAGTCTACACAGCAGCTTTTCTGAAAACAAACAATAAAAGGGCCTGACAATCCGGAAATATTTGTACAATTAACACAACCATAGTCTCAGGTCCAGATGCATTTGGCCCGCTCATAGTGCGACAGAGTAAAACTGTGATAGATCTAAACAATAATTTTGTTTATCTTGGAGTCAAGGTAGCTAACAACACCTGGGCCTAATGCATCAGTGGTTTCCATCAGTTTGATGCTTAAGGGGAGTGTTCCACATTGGTGTGGGGTTTTGGACTGTAATGCCATCTTGAAGATCATTCTGTACAGTTCACAGCCCTGCCCTTCTTAAGATTTAAACCCCTCTAGTTTCTAAGATACATGCCCCAAAGATGTGCTATTTTGTGTGCACAAGTTCAAGATCACCCAGGCATACATGATTCCACACTGTCATTTAAATCCTGCCATTCCACTGGTTATGTAGCAATCAAGATCAATGAAAAAAAAGAACTGTTGAGTCATTCCTATCTGACCATTGTGAGCATGATTCCCAGATACAAAGGCCATCAACTGACTCTCAATCAATGCTGTGCAAGGTATGATGACACAATCAACAAAATAATGAGGAACATATTTGCTAAATAGAGAAATTGTGTTGTCTACAACATTCTTTCCTGCTTTAAAGTACACCAATAGTTTTAAGTGAGCTTATTCCATCATGTTTGATGCCTGCTTCAATACTTTCAAATGCTGAGCATTCTCTTTCTAGCATCAGTCACCACTGCTCTACCAAAGATATCTGGGGTGGTGCAGTGGTCTGATCTTCCATCACAGTTACAGAGAAGCCAGCAAACCTATGCTTATTGGATGACCTTCAACACATCCAAGGTGTCAGGGTCCATAACAAAGGTGAGCCACAGTTTCTGAAGAAAGTGTTTGAGGCTTAAACCAGCAAATCCAATCCAGCTCAAGCATTTCATAATGCCACACTATTGCCAAACATGTTTAAATGTATGCTTCATCTTGATAATGAACATACAGTGGGCATGGTGTAGAACACATTTATTTGACTTGTGATTCCTTTTTTATTGACTGTCTCAGAATAGAAGCAATCAATATCAACTTGCAGCTTCCACCAGACCACATGAATCTAACCAAGCCCAGGCAATATGACAAAGCTGAGTAGGTGCCATTTCCAGCAACAATGTGACTGTTCTGACTTTTCTGCATGTAAAGTTGTGTTTCTTTTTCCAAGTCTATTTCACTCACCAGCAACTTAACAACACAATATGCATCACATCATATATGTAATTGGCATATACATGCAGTGTGACAGACACATACTTATCAAAACACTAACACAGAAGCATCTTGGCATAAATCCTATTATGTTGAATTTGAATAGGCAAATCAAATGAGCATCCTCAATTTGGGTGTGGTGCTAAATAAATTGCCATTTTCACTGTGAGGCCAAGCAAATACAATCATATTGTATCAACTGACAAAATTTTAATTTTCATCAGACAGCAGCTAAAATGTTAAAATTCAATGACATGATTTCCACCAACAAGGCCAGCTTTCCCCACAAGATCCCAACCTGTGTCAAGCATGGGAGAAAGACTAACAAGGTGACTCATATGACAGACATATATTACAAATCTGGCTGTGAGTTGAACTATCAACCATAATTGCTGCATGCATCTACCATGGCCTTTACCACAACCAGTAAAGCATATTCACACTATGCTGAAAAACTCTTGTCTGGCTTACATTGAACTCAAAACCATTTCCATGTGAGTCAGTAAGGATTAGAATGGATTTCCTCAGAAAAAGCGGTGATGTGTTGTTTTACGATGGGCCAATGAGCTAACACAGTTTTTGATTATTTGGAGGAGAAATCTAATAGAAGGAAACATAAATATTACTGAGCTTATTATTTTCAAGGCATGCTCAGGATCCATCCAACTGCTCATCACTCAGAAACATGCATCAAATTGTTTAGTAAGAAAATGATTCATCATATGGAATAACAAATGGCATGCCAAGAATTGCAATCCTTGAAGAGAAAGGCCTCCATAAGTGCCATTTTGAGCTGCCATGCCCACAAACTTAATTGCGAAAGGAAATTCCCCTACCATTTTCAGTGTTTATACCATAGTGAACAGCAAAATCCCTATCCCACATGTGAATCCCAATTAGATCTGCACCATTTTCAGCAATTTCATTATTGACCCTTGTCAACCCAGGTTAGCGGATATTCAGTTTATAACAGTGAGCACAGTGTAGATTGTGAGCACTGAAACATTCACCTGTGGTTCCACAAGCAGTCAAGACTGCAATAAAACCCCTGTTTCACCCAATGTCTGGTGTAGCAGTGACACTGCTCAGAGCTACAGCACATAAACAGTATAAATCCACATGCTCAGAGGCTGACACACTGTCACTGACAATCTCAGTGCATCCAAAGCCAATGTTTCAGGCAATTGTGGCATTATGTTCACAGGTCCAGGCACAAGTACAGCAAAATATAAGCAGAGATTGTTTGGACATTCAGTACAATTTTGCCTGGCCTGAACTCGACCCAAATGAGCTCACAGCCATGCACAATGAAAGGGCAGCCAATGAAGCAATTATTTTTGCACCAAGTAGCACACTACCTGCTGGAACATGTCTGCTATGGCAGCTGAAGGCAGAGGGAGGAAGCTCAGTCATCAGTTATATCTTTTATCATGACGCAGACAGCTAGAGATAATCCTGCTTAAAACAGGACGGATAACTCCTGAAATTTACCCAGGATCGCCCTTAGCTGAAATACTCACCAATACCTTTTTCGGATTTTTCGAAGCAGTACTTCAGCTTTATGGTTACGAATTCAAGTTCTACGCGCCATCTTTCTAATATTTTCTTCTATCACTCATTGCGAAATATGATTCAAGCATACACACATCACCCAGGAAGCCACCACCGCTAAGCCAGCGCGCACATCCACACAGCCACGAGTTTTGTCAAGTGCGTCGTATTTGGCAACGCATGCATTTGGTGTCGTCATGAACTATTGGTAATCGGTTTAAGTCGTCGATACGTCTAGTTCTCACAGGGTCAGATCCTTTCTGTTTATAGAAACAAAGGCTAAAAAATTATTATGATCCTTTCAGCTGGTAAGATAATTCATGAATCAAAACACTCTACACAAACTTTTCGTTGTCATGAAATTGGACGGCTTTTAAAAAGATTTTGTGAACGTTCTCTACGAATATTTTTCATCCTTTTGGCTCCAAATAGACAGCTGCGTCGTTATTGCCGAAGATTGTTGTTGCTTTTTAGGTGTCGGGCCATAGGCCGGTTGTCGTATTGTTTACCATTTCCGTTGCTTGTGTGATTGGTAGGGGTGGTTGGTGCAGTGTGGTAAAAACGTCCAGCCAAGTATTCACATGTCGGAGCTTGAACTGTGAAGCTTGCACCGGTCATCTTGGTGGAGTAGAGGCACGCTGGTTGCCAGAGATTGTCTGGGTTATGTTTTGATCCTGGTTTTCACAGCATTTCCCGCCGCCATGCCGTGCAAATTGAAATACATTGAAGTAGAAAACTTCAAGTCTTACAAGGGCTTCATGCAGATTGGCCCGTTGATGCCCTTCACCGCAATTGTTGGCCCAAATGGCTCTGGTAAGTCAAATTACATGGATGCCATCAGCTTTGTCATGGGAGAAAAGACATCAAGTCTGAGAGTGAAGAGGCTCAGTGATCTCATACATGGAGCATCCATTGGACAGCCTGTCTCCAGGACTGCAGGAGTGACTGCTGTGTTTGAACTGGAGGATGGCACGGAGCGCAGGTTTGCTCGTTATGTGCAAGGCTCTTCATCAGATCACCGCATTGACAACAACATTGTCACCATTGCTCAGTACATGAGTGAGCTGGAAAAACTTGGTGTAAATGTCAAGGCAAAGAACTTCCTAGTGTTCCAGGGTGCAGTTGAGTCAATTGCCATGAAAAACCCAAAGGAGAGAACAGCCCTGTTTGAAGAGATTAGCAGTTCAGGAGCTTTGAAGGATGAATATGACAGGCTCAAGGCCGAGATGGTCAAGGCCGAAGAGGATACACAGTACACTTACCAAAAGAAGAAGGGCATTGCAGCTGAGAGGAAGGAGGCCAAGATGGAGAAAGATGAAGCAGAGAAGTATCAGAGGTTCAAAGAAGAGCTAAATGACAAGCAGGCTGAGCTGCAGCTGTTTAGGCTCTACCATAATGAACAAGAAATTGAGGCTGCTGAGCTGGAGATCACAAAGAAAAGAGGTGAGATTGGAAAGATAGAAAAGAAGAAGGAAAAGGCTGAAGAACATCTCAAAGAAAAGAAGAAAGACCATGGCAAGCTCCAAAGGGAAATAGCCAAACTGGACCAAGATGTGAAGGAGAAAGAGGTGGAAATCAACAAAAGGAGGCCCACTTTCATCAAAGCCAAGGAAAGGGTCACCCACATGCAAAAGAAGGTTGATGCTGCTACCAAGTCCTTGAACCAGGCACGTAAGGCACATGAGGCTCACATGCAGGACATTCATGAGCTGGAGGAGGAAATGAAAGTCATTGACAAGAAGCGAGCTGAATATGAAGAGACTGTCATGGGAGATTCTCAGAGTCAAGGCAAATCATTAAGTCTTGAGGAAGCTCAAGTTGCAGAGTACCACAGACTGAAGGAAGATGCTGCAAAGCGCTCAGCAAGGTACCTGCAGGATCTAGACTCGGTCAATCGCGAACAGAAGTCTGACCAAGATCGTCTGGACAATGAGCTAAGAAAGAAACAGGAGGTGGAAAACAGACTAAAAACAAAGGGCCACGAACTGGAAGACGCCCAGAAAAGGATTGAGAAGCTTGTGGAACACATTCGGTCGTCGGAGTCATCCCTCGAAGAGCAGCGACGCCTACGCGAGGAACTTCAGTCAGAAGTTGGAAGCAGCAAGAACCAGATTACAGACTTACAGAGCAAACTGGAGTCGGTCACTGAGCAGCTTGGAGATGCTCGTGTCGACAAACATGAGGAAGCAAGGAGGAAGAAAAAGCAGGAAATCGTAGAAAATTTCAAGCGTCTCTTCCCTGGTGTGTTTGATCGAATGATCAACATGTGTCAGCCCATCCACAAGCGATACAACGTTGGCATCACCAAAGTGTTGGGAAAGTACATGGAAGCCATCGTTGTTGACACCGAGAAGACAGCGCGCCAGTGCATTCAGTACCTGAAGGAACAAATGCTCGACCCAGAGACCTTCCTACCACTGGACTACATCCAGGCTAAGCCACTGAAGGAACGACTGCGAAACATCAGCGACCCCAAAAACGTCAAGCTGGTCTATGACGTGCTGCAGTACAATCCCCCGGATATCAAGCGCGCCGTGCTGTTCGTTACGAACAATGCGCTTATCTCGGAAACGCCGGAAGACGCCATGAAGGTCGCGTACGAAATGGAGGATGGCCAGCGATATGACGCGGTGGCGCTGGACGGCACGTTCTACCAGAAGTCCGGCATCATATCCGGTGGCAGTCTCGACTTGGCCCGCAAGGCGAAACGCTGGGACGAAAAACACATGAGCAACCTGAAGAGCGAGAAAGAGCGTCTGCAGGAGGAACTGCGCGACGCGATGAAAAAGTCGCGAAAGGAGTCTGAGCTAAACACGGTGGAGTCCCAGATACGGGGTCTGGAGACGCGGCTGAAGTACGCACGCACCGACAAGGAGAACACTGAGGGCAAACAGATTCGCCAGCTGCAGCACGAACTGGAGCAGCTGCGCGGTCAGCTGGAGACGTTCGCGCCCCGCATCCACGAGATCGAGCGCACCATGAGGAAGCGAGACGTGGACATACAGGAGATCAAGGAGAACATGAACTCGGTGGAGGACGTGGTGTTCGCCGGCTTCTGTCAGGCAATCGGCGTGCAGAACATCCGTCAGTACGAGGAGCGGGAGCTGCGCTCACAAACCGAGAAAGCCAAGAAACGGCTCGAGTTTGAGGATCAAAAGAACAGGATTACAAATCAACTGGAGTTTGAGCGCTCGCGCGACACGGAGAACAACGTGAAACGCTGGGAGCGCTCCGTGCAGGACGATGAAGAAGAGCTGGAGCGCTGCAAGCTCGCTGAGACAAAGCAAATGACTGCTATCGACAAGGACATGCGCGAACTGGACAAGCTCAAGTCTGAAAAGCTCTCAAAAAGGCAGGAGGGTGAAGAGAAGGAAGACGAAATCAACAAGGCGCGTCGGGAGGTGGGCACGATTGCTAAGGAGATGCAAGCAGTCCAGAAGCAGATCAACACTTTGGATGGCAAGGTGGAACAGAAGCGCAGTGAGAGACACTCAATCCTTAAACAGTGCAAAATGGAGGATATCGTCATTCCAACATCACGTGGATCATTGGACGACCTGGGGGGAGGAGACGATGGCGAGTCTGAAGCCATGGAACCTGGAAGCTCACAGAATACTTCAGCCGTGAACGAAAGAGCAGCGAGGATTGTGGTTGACTACTCCAGGCTCGATGAGTCGTACTTCGATCTCGACGACGATGAGGTTCGAAAGATCGAGAGCAAATTGAACAAGCAGATCAATGAGCTAGCGTCGATGCTGCAGAAGATCCAGATGCCGAACATGCGAGCGATGCAGAAACTTGACATGGCGAGAGAGAAGCTGCAAGAGACCAATGAGGAGTTCGATTCGGCAAGGCGCAGAGCCAAAAAGTCGAAGCAGGCGTTTGAGCGGGCCAAGAAGGAGCGCAACGATCGCTTCATGGCCTGCTTTGAACATGTCGCAAACGAGATTGATGGCATATACAAAGCCCTGGCACAGAACCAGTCGGCGCAGGCCTTCCTGGGTCCGGAGAACCCGGAGGAGCCTTACCTGGACGGCATCAACTACAACTGCGTGGCGCCCGGCAAACGGTTCCAGCCCATGTCCAACCTGTCTGGAGGGGAGAAGACGGTGGCGGCCCTGGCGCTGCTGTTCGCCATCCACAGCTTCCAGCCGGCGCCGTTCTTCGTGCTGGACGAGATCGACGCGGCGCTGGACAACACAAACATCGGCAAGGTGGCCGGCTACATTCGCAGCCAGACCGCGGCCAAGCTGCAGGTGAGAGGCGGTCAGATCCGCGGCAGTCTCGTGGTGGGAGTCTGGTAACGGGACCGTAAGACAGCTCCAAGCTAGGGTGCCTTCGCAGGTGAAACTACCGAGCGGACTCAGGTAACGCGGGGCATAAAGTGTCGGCTAGTGACGAGTCCAGTTCGGGTGCAGGTGAGTTTAATCTCATTACAAATCATATTGCTGGAGCTGAGTCACTAATGTAACGCCGACTGGCTGTTTCATGGTCCGAAATATATTTTCGTAATGCTCTGGTCCGGAACGTCTCACCAGTGAGAAATACTGATTTGAAGGAAAAGTATAAGCTGTTTTCGGAGTGCGCAAAATAGCCTGCCGTGGACGCGCTACGAAACAGCAAGCTTCTACAAGCGTGTTTTCACGGTCCGCGTCAGTTAAACATGGCAGTGCCGAGAAGCGTTCGTTAAAATATCGCTTATCAACTCGAAGGCCGTTTTCTACGGTTGTGCGGCCTTTGACTGTCATGAACACCGGCAGAGCGTATTGTACTGTCATTCACGGCCCTGCCGGCGTCCGCAGGTGCTCGTCATCTCGCTGAAGGAGGAGTTCTACAGCCATGCCGACGCGCTGATCGGCATCTGCCCGGACGCAGGCGAGTGTCTGGAGAGTCGCGTGCTCACGCTGCGGCTGACCGACTACCCGGACCATCTGCAGGCGGACGAGCCGGTCGTCAGGCGCTGAGGCGCGCCTTTCCTCAGCCTGACCGCGCGGCGCGGGTGATCGGCGCCCAGCCGGCGTCACAGTGCGGCGTGCTGAGCGGGAGTGGCCGGCGCCCTGCTGGTGTCACAGCGGGGCGTGCTGAGCGGGGGTGGCCGGCGCCCAGCCGGCGTCACAGTGCGGCGCGCTGAGCGGGAGTGGCCGGCGCCCTGCTGGCGTCACAGTGCGGCGTGTTGAGTGGGTGTGGCCGGCGCCTAGAAGGCGGCACGGTGTGGTGTTTCGGGCGGGAGCGGCCGGCGCCCAGATCTTGACACAGCGTGACGTTTGGAGCGGGAACAGCCTGTGCCTAAAGGGCGATAACGTGTGACGTGCACGCCGAGGGAGTTATATTGGTCCAGCGGCCGGTTCTATTTGGCGCACATGCCAAGCCTGCGCGTGACGTCACTTGCGATTAGTTTTAAGATCAGTTCTCACGTTCATGGATCCATTGGAGTAGTTTTAGCTTACAGTGTCTTTAGAGCCATCTGAAATGTTTCATTCGTGGTGGATGTGGTGAGCTATGACTTTGCATAGCTGGTACGTCTTCGTATAGTGTCCTCATTTTTAGAATACACGTGGCCGTATTCCACTCTTGAATTTTATCCGTCCATTGGGATTAACGTCTACATCATTGATTGAATGTTGTCGCGAGATGGCGCCCACCGCGTTGCGGAGATGCCTGTGCATCCTCCCAGGATGAGAGACAGGCGACGCCATACAGCCTCAGCAGCTGGGTGTGTCGTAACGCACCAGTGATCGACTATTGTGGAGGTACCTCTCCGGGCACAAACTGGTCATGGTAGTTGGCGAGCCCTTAAGCTCTGATCATCGTCCTCAACCTTGGTTTTCCAGGCGCTGTCTGTAATATGTATGGTATTGTTGAAGACGGTACACTGGCATCCTTTTCTTACGCTGGCTGGAAATTTGCATTAAAATATGAAACCATCGGGTGCCCCGGCAGATTGAGGCGTGTGATAAAAGGGTCGATTCATTATTTCCGTTATTCATTAGTGAATGTAGTGGCAACCTACTTTGCGGATTCCGTGTTGCGCATAACATTGGGCACTGGAATGTCAGCAACCCGGATAGTCATCCGGGGTATGCAAAACTAGGATGGGTATTACGCTGGGTGCAATTACAATACTCGCTTATATATCGTATCATAAGCCGTGATTGCCCAAAATTTGCGAGGAAGACGGGAGCACTTCACAAGGAAAATCGATGCGAAAAATCGCCTTCAGCGTCGAACACCTAAATTTGGCTGAGAGAGCCCAAGAATTTTGTTTCGCCTTCCCATTTAATAAAATCGACTCCATGGACGAAGGGACTACGGGAAGCTACCTTAACCATGTTTAGAGAAAGTGGTCCCAACCCGAGTGCGCTGCATAGAAATAAATATATTTCATCTAAGAATCGTGTTTCTTACCTTCTCCCCACAGGGTCCACTGTCTCAAAGGCGTGCCGTATCGTGTCACATGGGTTGTGATGTCATGTGATAAAACATCTCGGAAAAGTGTTTCTGGAATGTGGCGGCTTTTAAATTTGTCATGGATACCTTCGTTTTAGCCTTTTGAATGGAATACCATAAAATCCATCTGAAGCAAGTTATATTTTGATCAATAGAATTTCTTTCCAAGATGTAAAACAATTTTTATGAACTGTTCTTTGGATATGCGGCATTGTTCGGTGGTTTCTTGGAAAACTGTGCTTGTTGGCTTTGGCAGTACTTTAGTATCCACCGTTGCTATGGTAACCCGATCGGTTTGATTATCGCCGGGGACTTGTCAAGGCCGGCGATATCGAGGGCTGGGGGCGGTGGTATGCTGTGAATCGTCGGTTGGGAGCACTGGTTGGCTGTGTTATGTCAAGCGACAGCTCGTCAGTGTGGTAAATGTTGATCTAAAGTTGTTTTTCCTTAGATTGGTGCGTTATAGAATGCTGGTAGGTGAAAAGGTTCGCACAGCGTGCATGCATGTTTGGGAGCGAGGAGTGAGGACGAGGCGCTTAATGTACTGGTGCGCTGTCAGCGCCATTTCCCGGGTGGGGTGCACAACGCATCATTTTGTAAAATCGCTTTAACATAGATGTAAGGGGTTAGACGGATGCGCACAGCTGAGTAGCTGCATACATCATTCAACTCTCGGCCTTCCCATGAATCATCTACGGAATGGTGACGTGGGGCCCCATGATCAGTGATTATGCTGAAAGATCGTAGCACCTGAAGATAGCCAGGAGTTCAGAAGCCCGTCTGTTGTCGGTGAATACGAAATCAGTGATGAGCAATTATGGGTGAAGAGGCTAAGCGCAGCGCTTCGGCATTTGCGGCCGGGGATTTAGCTTACTTAGAAAAAGAGGCGCGCCAAGCCGATAAACTGGAGATCTTTGAAAGGAAACGATGAAGTGGCGTCAGTCTCGTGGTTATGGTAGACATGGTTACCACCACATCTACCATATCACATACTCTGCCCACGTCTGCAATGTTCCGTAAACTCCAAGCTCACTAATGATGCTGTCGCTAGAACATGAGAGAATGCCGGAGGCCAGTCTAAATCGTCCTCTCCCGAAACCGTTTCGAGGCCTCTGACATACCAGACACTTCTTGATAACCTCTGGTGCTCCCTAACGGTACCACTGTCTAAAGCCGTCTCATCGGCGTTTTAACCTTCGTCGTGTTTTGGACCATTGCTGGTCTTGGGAGAGGGACCCCGCAAGGCTAGAAGCTTATGCCTGTTCTAAGACTGCTTTGGTCAGGCAGCCCTGAAATGACGCCTGCTTCCATAATGTTCTTTGAGGGCGCTATGAGCCCCTTCGGAGACGATTCCTTTGTAGTCCTACGAAACTGGCTGAAATATACAGGCTCGTGCGCAACACAATTTAGATTGGGAATTAATTAACAGCTCAGCCCTTTCAAGGACACCGGCTTACAACCACACCAACTTCTACAACTGCACATCTTCGCCACCATGTGCTGGTGGGCGATTGTTTGCAACCACGCCTCGGGCTATGGGCTGAATGTTGTCCGGTGCGAGCTCGTGTGTATCTTCCAGCTTTTCGCGCAAGAAGCAGCCAGCAGCAGGTGAAGATGTCTGGGAGCCGACGACCCTCCGGCGTACCCCGGGGCTCATCCGGCAGCGCATCTCGCGGCTCGGCCGACTCCTCGCGCTCGCGGCTGCCTTTCCTGCCGCCTACCAATCCAGCCAAGGCGCGCCAGCTGCAGGAGCGGCTGCTGGTGGCGCCTGGCCTGCGCTGACCGGCGGCAGCGCGACCCGACCGAGCTGCTGGCACGCCCCGCCGCCGCCGCCGCCGCCGCCGCCCCGGCGCCCCGGCGCGGCATTCAGCTGTCGCCGCTGGTAAGCCGCGGTTGCCGGTCGGGACGGGCCGGGCGGGTGGGGTCCAATCTTCGCCGAAATTTGACTAGAGGGAATGGATACCGAATGTTGCTTTCATTACGCATTTCTTGAGTTGCTTTTATACAAAGGTTGTCTTTCATGCATTATCTGTCTGTATCTGTTTGTCATTCATTATTTATATATTTGTCATTCATATATCGTTATCTTTTTGTCTTTCATGCATTAAAGGGAATGTTCCAGGTTTGGAGATAATGAAGCACTTGTCTGATGTGATGAAATAAACTCACTGATAATTATTGTGTGCTTTAAGAGGAAAGGCTGTAACAGACAACAGAAGGCAACTGAGGAGAGACAACACAATTTCTATGTCATTAGACATGCTCCTCAATACGTCGATGTTTGATTGGATCACGGAACGTTTATATGATATTTCTGATCTGACCTGCACTCTCCCGAGAGGTGGCAGCACCTGCTGAAAGTATTCAGTGAGCCAGATATCGCTATGTGGTCGTATTCTTGTCCTTTCTCGTGGTGTTCTTGCATATTTATCCATGAGTTTGATATTTACGTGCATTAACATACTTGGTTGTAGTGCTATTCTTAAGTTATTCGAATACAAGTATTATTTTCGTAACAACTAGAAGGATTGTATAAATTCTAGTATGATGTAGCACACGACGTAATTCGTGACAGAAATATCCCACCCTCTTATCCTACTTCTTGCTTAATCCTGATTCCTCGCGACGCCCGCTTGTCCGGGGCAGGCTGCATCCATCACTCGCGAGTGGGCGGAGAGGCGCCCTGGAAGAGGACCCCGACCGGGTGCTCAGCGCACACCCTGCGCGGGCTTAAGCTCGGCGGTTGGCCCCCAGGCGCATGCAGTCCTATCCCACCGTTATCCATTCTCCTTCATCCCATAACCCTGAAGTGATCACGTCTGGTCGAAAAGCCTCTTCAACCAACCGTGATAAAATCCTGCATAGCTCACACAACATCGGGTGAGAGCCAACTGGCGGCCGTCATGCATGGAAATCGTGCTCACGAACGCCAGATATGAACGATTCGACAATGATATTTTCTTGGCCTTGATCGCCGCTTGGCTAATGGAATGACATGTTTTGAATGACGTGATTATGGTGTCATGGATGCCTGGGTATCCTCGAGATAGTCGGCACGAAGGGATAAAACACGAGCACATAACGACACTTGGCTCAGCAAACACTTCCAGGATGGAAGCAAACAATGACGTATTGAACCACATGATTACTAAATGGAGAAATTTTGTTATCTAGAGCGATTGCTCTATATATAAGTATACCAATAGCCTGGAGTAAGCTTATGTCATTATATTTGATGCATGCTTCAATGTCTTCAAAAGGGCGGAACATTCCATTTGAGGTCACTTCTCTTTGTGTTCCTCCATATGTCAGCGTTGGGTCTGTGCCGCATGGTGTGTTTCTGAGTCTGTGATCTGTCTCTATCAGGAGTGGCCAGGCCACACACGCAGTGGAAAACGCGGCCTCGGCTGTGCGTCGTACGAGGAGTTCCTGAGAACGTCTTCCAAGAAGACTAAGACCAAAGCGTCAGCCTCCGGTGGTACGTGCGGACTGCAGACAACGGCTCTCAGGGATGCCGGTCAATCGGCAGTCCATCTTATCTATGGTCGCCTCTGAGAACTTACCCTGCTCGCTTATCTCCGTTGCCTTTTGGGCTTTACGGCGTCGCCTGCCTCTGACCCTGGCAGGAAGGACGGGCGCCGGGGGAGGGGGGAGGGGGGGGGGGGAGATCGAGCCCCATTCTTCGAGGTTGCCAGCCGTGCTCGCCCCATTGTTCATCAATTCCTCATGGGTATGGTCGGCTTAGTATTCCGGATTGGTCTTCCTTGTGTGAATCGGCTTGTGTGTAACCATGAACTGGTGAATATCATTCGCACTCACCTGCCACTGGCGCGTGAGATAGAGAACAGCGTGTTTAACCGTTTCCAGAAGCGTACTGTTCCTGGTATTCTCAAGGTGTCAATGGCAGTTATCATCAATGTTTAGACACGTCATTATACATGCGCTCTTTCAGGCTCAGAACTGTCTAACTTAACGTCGTCCTCTTTGGTGTTGTTACCGCACCATTATTGCCGCCCATGGTGTCAAGCTTGCAGACGGCTGCGCGCGGCCGCGTGACCAGGGCTTCTTGCCCTGCAGCCGCGGCTCGACGCAGCAGCAGCGCCGAGTCGCTGGGCACACGC